GTGTGTATGACATGATGATAGTTTTACTCAAATGAAACGGTCAAATGCTGATGAAGTGACTCTTGGAGCAGTTCTGGAGAATGTTGTTCATGTATTTATGTCCTCATTTAGTGAGACTGCAGGTGCTAAAATCACCGCAAGAGTCACGCGTGCTTTAGTACAAGTGGTAAACAAAACCGCACGTCTGCGCCATTCATTAACACAGAGACACGCAGAATTCATATTTAAATAGTCGTTTTGTGGCTTAATATGTACAAATACTTGTGGGAGTGGGAGTGTGCTCTCTTGTGTGTGCGCGCACGTGTGTGTGCGCACGCGCATCCGGGCGGAACTCCGCTGTGCGCGATACAGAGAGCGGGACCATAACTAGAGACCGAAATTACATGCCGTCGTGTAAATAAGATAAATAACGTAAGGCTATTTAGTTTGTTTAATAAAAGAACAAGGTATAGACCTGTTCTATCGGAAAGGTAACTTTAAATGACTTCTGTTGTGATCTGGCGCTATAGAGAAAATATAATTAAATAAAATTAACTTGACCTTCAAGGGGGGCGGGGAGTGCCGTTGGGGGGGTGAGCTGCCCCCCCTAATATAATGGCATGGGAAACACTGCAGTGTAAGTCACTTTGGATAAAAGCTTCTGGCTAATGCATTAAGGTAGATGTAAAACTTGGATAAGCTGGTCTTCAGTTAGTTTCCTAGCCAGAATGTTAAACTTGGACTTTTAAAAAGGCCTTTATCATGCTGTAATAACAGAAATGACCAAGTAGGGCTGTCAAAAAAAACATTCTAATTTTGAATATTCGTCAAATAAAAAAAAAAATCCACATTCGAATGCAAAAACGTTGCATTCGAATTTAAGGTCTGCGTCAGCCGTCAGGCAGCCTTATTAGTGGCGCATGAGATGCGATGACGATGTATGTGTCATTGATTGCATTTGAATGTTTTTGTTAGCAATGCTTTTGTTAGCCTATCCAGTTGAACCCACTAGATGCGGCGCTGCTACGTTGTTCATTCATATATTGCGGAAAACAAGAGCATCAGTGTGGAGAAGATGTTGTTTACTTCAAAACTGAAACCAAGCTGTTCACACAGAACGCATATTTATCACATTTTCTAAAGAGACATCTATCAGCGTTGCACTCGTGTCTCGCAGAGAGCGGCATGTTTAGAAAGCCATGTAAAATTAATGCAAGTTCAACTTTGAAAAAACATCTCTAAAGACGTTATGGCGGTTTTTCCCCATCCCACTGTATCTAATTTTTTAAAGGGGTCATATGATGCTGCTAAAAAGAACATTATTTTGTGTATTTGGTGTAATGAAATGTGTTTATGCGGTTTAAAGTTCAAAAAACACATTATTTTCCACATACTGTACATTATTGTTTCTCCTCTATGCCCCGCCTTTTTGAAACGCGTCGATTTTTACAAAGCTCATCATTCTGAAAAGCGAGGTGTGCTCTGATTGGCCAGCTATCCAGTGCGTTGAACTGTTCTGGAACAGTGTTGTAAATACAACTTAACCACTGATTTGTAGTCGTGTCCTCTTTTGGAAGACCAAACAAAGTAGTTTCGCGTGTTAGAACGAGCCATTTTAGGTAGGCGTGGTTAACTCTTAACTTTTATAAAGAATATCTCTTTGGTTTTGAGACTTTAGTGTTTGCAACTTTACAGATCTTCTTTATGCACCAAGAGCTTGTAACACTCCAAAGAGAAAGGAAAAATTGAAATCGCATCATATGACCCCTTTAAAATGAACTGCAATTACGTTTGTAAAGAATCTGTACTGATGAAGTAATGCAGTTTAGAAGGCAAAAGATTTAGTTCATACCTTTCATACTTCTCGAAGCATTGCAATCATATGATATTTTTCTTGTATGCTTCATGATTTAGATTTTTCTTTGCGTAGTGTAATCTCACGTTGACATATTGATGCTGAATGTGTTTAGCATGTTTATACTTTATTAGGTCGACTTGTGCAAAATACTTGAATCAATTCAGTTGGAACATTTTGTAAATACAAAATGAGTGTTATAATGCTAATGTCAACACCCCCCATGTGCCATTTCTACAGCTGTCAATCAATGCATTTGACTACAACTGCCATGTAGACCTAATCAAACTCCTGCAGCAAGAAGGGAAGCTTCACAGACTGCGCAAGGCCAGGCAGAAGATGAGCGAACTCTTTCCTCTGACTGAAGGTGGGGCATCCTTATTTTGTTTCTGTTCTTTGTTCTCTTTGTGCGTTAGCCAGATTTTTCTCTGACATTTGCAACAGAGAGACTGGAGCATATTATATAATGTGAAAGAACAACAAGTGCTTTTAGAGTCCAGGCTATTTTTTGATTCGTTCTTGAGGTTTGAGTACTCCTCGCTCTCCAGGAATGATGATCTCCAGGAACAGGACATTCTGCATCAGCCCTGCAGGAAACAATTTGAATTGGGATGATGATTCTAATGAATTTACTGGACATGATAATAGGTGATAATCTTTATACTGCGCTGGACTGCAATAGCAGGAAAAAAATGCTATTAGAAAATGAGTTTGTTGCTTATGATGAATATTAAAAAAAACATAAGCAAAAATATGTAATCTTTGAAAGTGCATGTATTTAATATGTAAAGGAGTGTTAAGATTTTATGATGTGGAGATATGGGTATTGTGTTACTGTGTTTGACTGATTTGTTTGTTGGAACAGAGATTTGGCTGGACTGGCTGAAAGATGAAATCCGCCTGACAGAAGACGAATCAGACCGTGAGAAAGTCTACGAGCTGTTTGAGAGGGCTGTCAAGGATTATGTGTGTAAGTGTGGCTTAATTGTATTCATATTCTTCGGTTCTTTGAAACTGGTCAAATTTTGTATTGTTTTCTAAATGTAATAATAGATCAAGTGTATGAGCTATCTGTAAAACACTAATTCTGTTACCACCTATAATGTGATAAATAACATGTAATTGTTGCTTAATTGTAAGATGGATTGTTTTGAGGTAAACCTGTGTTGGGGAATTAAAAAAGAGATACTGGTAAACCCATCCACAGGTCCAGAGATCTGGTTGGAATATGTACAGTACTCCATCGGGGGAATGGGAGCCCAGGGAGGCATTGAGCGCGTTCGCTCCATCTTTGAGAGGGCGCTGACTGCAGTGGGTTTACACATGACTAAAGGAGCTTCAATCTGGGAGGCCTACAGGGAGTTTGAGATTGTTATTCTCTCCACAGTCCAGGTATTTACTCTGGGTTCCTACTCAGATTTATTGCAGAATATCAGCATGGCATTAAATTGCTATGAAAATAGCCGACCTAAAATACTGTTTATTTAATATTACATGAATAGTAATGAGAAGAAGGACTTTGGATGTTAAATAAATCTTTTAAATGATTGGTGACAGTGTTTTGTTTTGTCGTGTATAGGTGTTTTAACCCCTTCTCTGTTTTCCAGCCTCCTCCTGGCAGCATTCCATCACAGGAGCAGCAGGAGCTGCTGAATGCCCAGCTTGAACGCATACACACACTCTTCAGACGACAGCTAGCTGTACCTCTGATGGGTGAGAGCCACTCTGTTTCTCTCCTCTCGCTCCTTCTGTCCCCCACTTTCCCATTTTTTCTTTTCTCTTTTCAGTGTTGGAATAAATAATCGGAAAAATTTGTCCACAGACAGAAAGGGTCGGGAGAATGGATGCCAAAAGAATTTAGACTATGACTGTAAGATTGCGAAATTTGGCAGAAATAAAATAAACTGAGAACAACATGTCTAGACCAAACTGAGATCTGGTGAAATGGGATTGATTAAGACTTAACTTACAAATAATATTGATTGTTGCATGTGGTTTCCTTTCATGTGCATTTCTGAAAGCCAAGTAATGTCGGTCCTGTCAGGTAGACACCAGCGCTGCCAGACACTAGCGCTGCCAGACACTGGAGCACAGGCTGGGGACAAGAGAGCCAGGAGCAGCCTGCAGATAGCCAGATGGTCTGGTTTTGTGAGCAGGGTTTTTTTTCCGCTTCTCTCTTGCCGGCTGCTTTTGGCACCGAAGATGCAGAGGAGAATGCTCTGATCACATCCCACTCAGCTAAGAGAGCCATATCGCAGATTAGGTTTTCGTACAGCATGGCTTTCTTTGTCAGAAAATTGCCTTGTAGTGATGACATAGGTGAGAAATGCAGTAGTATCAGAAAGACTATTATTCTAAGCATCTTTGAAACAGAGCAGACTAGGGCTGTGCGATTAATCGTAATCGTCATAAAATCGCGATTTGAGCATGCGCGATTTCGAAATCGCTTTACAGCACGATTTTCCGCTCCCTCGACCTCCCGTAGTATGCTATCCGAACCAATCAGAATGCAGCGCACCTAAATGGAGCACGAGAACAGAACAGACCGGGCGGGTATTAGGGTTGTGACGGTGAGGAAATTTTCCCACCGGTTAATCGACGTGTGACAACACCGGTAATACCGGTATCACCGCGGGGGCGGGGCGTTCCCTCTTTTCCTCGCTTTCCTTCGCTTTTAAATAGCTTGTAAAAGCGGCGTGCCATTTTACTTTCACTTTAAAATAGCGGCAATTCGGAGTAAAGCAATTGTTAATTTTTAGTTTGTTTGAATTTTCCCTCTTTTCCTCGCTTTCCTTCGCTTTTAAATAGCTTAAAAATGCCGTGCGCATTTTACTTTCACTTTTGAATTAGCGGCAGTTAGGCGTCAATTGCTTGAATGCAACAACAAAATACAA